GTGTGTGTGTGTGTGTGTGTGTGTGTGTGTGTGTGTGTGTGTGTGTGGATTAGTAAAAGAGAAGGGGAAGGAACAAAATGAAATAAAACAAAAGATTCAGATCCTTCGCTCCGCGCGGGAGTATGGAAGATTGCCCTCTCAGCCAGGGGAGCAAGAACCGCGACTCTTTGTCTCAGCCGGCAGTTCTGACCTCCTGAACTGAAGAGAAGCAACTTCGACCTCACTAGGCGGCTAGCTCAACACAGATCACGGTAGCATGAAATACACTAGCTTCTCCACAACCCCAACGATCTCAGCGACCATTAGTGTCGGCGATTATTAAGCATACACCACGTTATCAAAATGAACAGTACTTTAAGCACACAAACAAGATAAAATAAACAGAAATGAACTCTCTCTAACTCTGCCCAGACTCTATTTCGCCTTACGGTACGATGCAATCGTGGTGATTGAGGGGGGTTCTTCTGAGCTTCGGTGGGCTCAGGCAGCGTGGCTGCGGGCCGCGGGAGGTGTTCTCTCGGTAGGAGAGAATCACTGTTGTCTGGATTAGGGATTTTCGCGTCCTTATGTCCGGAGCAAACGAGACGCTTGGTGGAGAGTGGAAGTTCTCTCTCTCTCTTTCTGAAGAAGTCTTGCTTCTTCACTTCTGCAGGACTAAAGGGGTTCGCTTCGTGGATACGAACAAAGATAAAATAGACAGTTTGGTGAATTCGGCCAGCGAATATAAACTGTTCGACCTAGGATTTGGTTGAAAAGGGAAACAACGTTGGTGTGCTCCCTAGCTCGACGGAGGTCGAAGGGAAAAAGCATTGAGGTGGGGGTTGCAGGTAGTTTTGTAGAACAGTGGCTGAACCACAGGGGTCCTGGGGTGTCTTGGCTCTCGGCCAATTAGATTGCAGCGCTGCTTTTAGGTAGCTTCAGGAATGCATAGTTTTTGGGGGAGCAAGATCGTCTTACCGGAGGTCCCGCCTCGGCATCCCTGCTCTCGTCCAATGAGAGCAGTGTAGCATTTGGGGGAGGAAACTCACACCCTAATGTGAATTTCTCCAGAGTTGGGGGGGGTTTGGTGGCTCATCAAACTACAATCAGGATGAAACCTTTGCTTGCAAAAGGCAAGGCCTGACTCTCTCTCTTTGTTCCACAGCACATGTCGAAGCCATATAGTCAGATCCCAACAAATATTTAAAATCTTTCATCCTCGATTGTTTTAATTGAAATATATATTTCAACGCTTCAATTGAGGTTTTCGAATGAAGCTTCTAATGTCTGTCATATTTTATGATGCCATCACACATGATTTGATGTTGTTGTGGTTATGCCAATGTAATTTATGGTGCTGTTCGATTGCTGTTCGATTGCTTACCTCTTCATCTTTTTTCAACACATGTTGACTTTTGGACTTTACAATGTCCTGGAGTTATTCTAAATGTTTGGATCACTCGGAAACAACGCAGCCACCACTGAAATCTAATATTACACACATCATAGTACTAAAAATATAGCCTCATCTTTTACAGTAATACAGAAATAGCAGAATATATAGACGTGTAAAGAAAAAAAAAACTGTGCCGTGTTGATCTAGAATTGGAATGTCAACATTATGAATGAAGCTTCAAACTATTCGATAGAGCCCTATAATACAACTCTGAAATAAATAACCTCCGGGTGAAAGTCCTTGCTGAATATCATTATTTTCACCCTCATTTCTCCCACTTATGGATGATCCTCTGGTGGAGAGGCACTCATCTCGGGCTGACAGATCAGTGGTCATTGTCCTCCTACTCCACCTGTTTCCTTGTTTTTCTTCTTGTTTTTTCTTTTCTTTTTTTGCATAAACTTTAATATCAAACCATTTCTTTTTTTAACCCGAGCCACAGTCCATAGCGTCTTTTAAAAACAAATGCAATCTTCGTAACTCTCGTGGAAACACTTTTCTGCCTCCCACCTCGGACAATATATACATTTCTTCAGTATGTTTTTTTCTTTTCTTTTACAAAAATGTTACTACTTTATCCATGATAAACTTTGAGGCAAGCACATTTCCTTATATAGAGAAATGGGAACGTGGCAGCAGGCTGATTGCGAAAACCCGGCACAGGGTTGTTAATTCAGAATTACTCTGACTGCTTACGAGCTCATCTTTTGTCAGTACTGCTGATCTCATTATTGTACTATCTTAGTATTGGACATTGGTAATTTTCATGAAGCATTTTTTTTAAATACCTATTAATTCTTTTGGCCTCAAATTTAGCAAATTTAGCAGCAAAACCAAAGTGTGTAGGGTGCTGTCTTAAAAGGAGAAGATTTGAACTGTTGACGTATTTGAGCGATAATTTCATTACAAGATGGTGAGATAAGATAATATCTCCTATGTGGGAGATGATGGTCTTGTACAGGAGATAAACTTGATTGTTTTCAACCAACATTCCCCGCAAAAAAAAAAATCACTTTGCTTTTTAGGGCTGCAAAATAAAGAAAAAAAAGTTATACTTTTGATAATTAGGCATTGAGACAGTGCTGCTGTTTGTAATGTTTATTGGAAAGTGATTCTACAACCTCAGGTGAGACGAGCCCTCAGTGAAGTGTGTGTGTGTGTGTGTGTGTGTGTGTGTGTGTGTGTGTGTGTGTGTG